GGAAACATAATATTCTGAAATACACTTAGTAACATCGATGCGGTACCATAGCAAATAAATCATAAATAAAAGCTGATAGGAAGGGAAAAATACGCACCTGCCACATCAGGGGCTGCTCGCATCTCCTCTGTAGCCAACTGGAATGCCCTGCGCCTCGTTGCTCTCCTCCTGGACTGACGATCGTCGGTGATCCTCAAAGTCGTGGGAGCAGGTGCTATGACCTATCCTGCTGCTGCCAAACTCGAACATTGGGCCTTTTTGTGGCCCCTCTAACTACAATGGAAAAATATGAGGTATGATCTTTAGGTCGTGGTAGCAGTACAATCCCTGCTATAATGACCGATCTGGTTGCACCTGAAACAACCAAAATCGCCACCATTGCCACTCCTACATGCACCCTCGTGTGTCTTGTCATACTTCCCATAGCGACTACGGTCCTAATGACCTCTCGATCTAGAATCTAATGTCTTGGGCCTCTTGCCCAATCCCGCAGATATCTGCACCTCGACTGGTTTTCTCTTCATGTCTGCCTCTAAGTTAATCTCCCTCTCCCTGGCTTGATCAATCATATCATCCAATGTCTATCAGTTGTGTTGGCTCGCAAATAGCCTGATGTCGCTCCTCAGCATCTCTTGGTACCGACCCTTCTTCATCTCCTCATCCGCCACATACTACGGAACCAGGAGGGCTCTCTCTCTGAACTTGGCGGTGATCTCCACCACTGTCACAGTAGTCTGTTAGAGATCCTGGAACTCCTGTGCTAACTGCTTCACCTCAATAACTGGTGCAAACTCAGCTTTAAACCTGGACGAGAAGTCACTCCATGTCATCGCATCCAACGCGACATCATCTCCAACAACATGTCCAACCTCCTCCCACCAATCACGCATTCTATCCTTCAGGAGACAGGAGGCGAGTTGTACCTTGTCCCCCGCGCGACATCGGCTAGTGTGAAAAGCATTGGCGACATCTACCAACCATCTACTGCTAGCAATGGGGTCCCTGGCCCCATGGTAATCCAGAGCTCCACAAGCTCTGAACTCTCGGAATGTCAGTGTATTCGCCCCCATCATAGCCACCATCTCAGTACGGAAGGCTCCCAACCTCTCATCTAAAATATCCAATATGCCCTCATTGACCGTAACAAAGATAAAAGGAGTCTGGTCTAGAATATTGCGTGTAATATTAGCTAATATAAACTCTCTCATCTGCTGCTCGGCTCCTAAACCCGAGCCTGATCCCTCGCCGATTCCTGAACCGCCCACTGGTCTCTCACGTAACGTCACCATTCTGCAACATAACATAACTACCATCAAAATACTCATCACTACCGAGGGATCACACACGCACTATAAGTTTCCCCGGTTTTGTATTAGCCCTTCTCGAATCGAGTACGGATCCTCTGCTTTTAGTAGTACAGGCCCATACTACCTTCTATCTGTGCTTTCCTCGAGAATTGCCTCGACTCCACCAAGTCCTTTTTATTACTACCATTGCTACCCGAACTACTCTCATCCTAGGCTTGCCCTAGGGTAACCTCTAACCCGAACCTGATCCCTCGCCGATGCCTGAATTGCCCACTGATCTCTCATGTAACGTCACCATTCTGCAACATAACATAACTATCATCATAATACTCATCACTACCGAGGGATCACACATGCACTACAAGTTTCCATGGTTTTGTCTTAGACCTTCTCGAATCGAGTACGGATCCTCTGCTTTTATTAGTACGGGCCCATACTGTTGGATTAGTGTCTAAGTCCATAACTATTTTGGTATGTACTTGACCCGATGGTGCATGCTCCTTTTGGGTTGCCTTCACCAAAGCAACTTGATTGGAGAAATAAATCAAGAGAGAAAGGTTATTATGATTTATTAATATGTTATAAGAATAATATATTAAAGGAGAAATCATATTTGTTTAATTAATATTGGTCAATAATTAATTATGAATTAATTTTGTGATCAAGTGTAATTAATTAAACTAGAGGGGCTGATTTGTAATTATGTGATAGTTACAAAATAAGGTAAGGATTATCTTATTATTAGGTTGGACGACTGTAAGGTGATAAGGCCTTAGAATTCGACTATGATAAGGATTCAAGGATTATCTTATGGGTTGCTTTGTGGATAAGCAACTAGATAAGGATAATGACTGAAACCCTATCTCTACACCTATATAAAGACCCTAAGGCTCATGAATTCGTGTATCCCTTCCCAAGGAGTCCTAAGGACGAATTCTAACCTCTCTCCTCTCTCTTTATACCTTCTCCATTTGTTCATGGTGTTTGTAAGCCATTAGAGGAGTGACACTTGTGACTCTAAGCATTCCAAAGTCAATTCAAGGAGATTTGGGATTGTTATTGCTACATAACAATCAAGGTATGATCTTAAACCTAATTACATATTAATATGATTACTTGAATGCTAGAATTAGGGTTTATAGTCTTGGATAACTTGCATGTACAATAGAGAAACCTAGATCCAAGCATTGGGGTTTGTATGAGCACATAGGATGTCTTATGACCAAAACCCATCACATACTACCTGCTATATATATCCGTACTTTCCTCGAGAATTTCCTTAACTCCACCAAGTCCCTTTTACTACTACCATTGCTCCCAAAACTACTCTCACCCTAGGCTTGCCCTAGGGTAACCTCCAATCTGAACCTAGTCCTCAGCTACTGAAGGTATCTTTATAATACCAATTAGCCACTACCTGAACACCATCACATTTGATGAGGCTCAAATAGTCCTTCGAGTAAAGGACTCATCCTTACAACGGTTAGACTCAAACGAGACCTGCGAAATAGGGAAAAATCCAGCACTCTGATATTATTCAACCCTGATCACATGTGACTTAACGTATTCACCTAATGGCTAACTCCCATCACTCAGAGTCCCACAAAGGACAAAGCAAGTAGCATTCAAACAAAAATGAAAATCTAACCAAAACATAATCAAGCAATTCTATACACATATCAGGAATCTATACTAGCATGCAACTTATAAAGCTTAAACATATAACAGACGCATAAGGCATCCTCCTAGATCCTTAGTCCTAATCTTGCATGCAGTTCTCATAAGCATATCATATATAAAAAAACATCTATGGGTAATTTGGGAGAACTTACTTGAGCTCGGCTGATTGCATGCACCATACCATTTTTCTATTTTCAAAATTTTTTTCTATTTCAAAATCCTTTTTGTAAAAAATGATTGTCTTTTGAAAGTTTTATACCACTTCCTTAGTTTGAGTTTAGACACACCTAAAAGTGTGCTCGAATCCCTCAAACCAAGGCTCTGATACCAACTTGAAACATCCCAAAATTATTGTCCGAAAATTTCTTTTTAAATCATTAATAAAACCATAATTATCATCCATTTCATTCATATCCAAAAATCGTTATATCAAATCAGAGTATCATCTCAAGCCATGTTCTTTTTATCAAAGTAAACATATCAGGCTAAAACTTCTTGGTGTGTGCCATGCAGTCATCCGAAGCTCTTCCCTCTGCTACTGGAAGTACCTAAAACTAAAACTAAAACCTGTAAGCATGAAGCTTCGTGAGTTCCTCAATCTACCACATACCATACACATAAGCATATATACTGGGCCCCCGTCCGCAACATCGGGACTTGGCCGGCATCGAACTAACTCCGACATTGGGACCCACCCGACATCGAGCCCCACTCGGTATACATATCTATTTCTCTTAGGCCCCGCCTGTCTCTGGGCACCGCCCGCTATACACATACTCACAAAACATATACTCTTGCTAATACATAACAAATAATCACTACACTATAGCTGCTAGTCTCGAGGCCCCGCCTATATTGGGCCTCGCATATACTCTACTACTTATGAGATATGGAACCCTGTCCACACTTAGCTAGTGATGAGATATGGGCCTCCGCCCACACCCATCTCGCTACCAAGCATATACAAGTATCACAAAGACAACAAGTATAACTAAACATACACTACTGTCTTGGGTATCTGTGACATCCCCATTTTCACGGCCAGAAAATACCGATTTTGTTTATGCTTTATAAAAATCAGTGTTTTTCTTTTAATAAAAATGTTGCAGAATTTGTTCCCGGAAAAACACGATAAAGACGTTATTAAAACATTTTCGAAGAAACGTATTTTATTCATTTTAAAACGTTTGGGATGTCATCATCGATACAGGAACATAAGCATAAACAGAACTTACATTTATTTACACTAGTGATCTACATCTCTTTAATCTCTCAGAGTAATGTGACTTCATATCAACACCTGTGATATAAATAAACTTTGGGGCCCGGTTGGGAAACCTGGTGAGTACATAGGGTTTTCAACCCACAATAATATAATTATTATGTTTAAACAATCAAACAATCAACCCAATTACCCATCCCCATTATCTTCTTTACTCTTAAGGATTTATCCTAAGAGTCATATATTCTGCATTCGTTTATTCCGAAGTCCCTTACTTCCAGGGTTATAGGCACTACTAGGAAAACAGCCTTTTACGACGCTCATTGCGCGTCGTAAAAGGCTCAGACAACGCGCAAATACGCGTCAAGGAAGGCCCTGTCATAAAGAGAGATGACGCGCATTTATGATGCTCATTTACGACGCGCAATTACGACGCGCGTTTACGACACACATTGCATATCAAGGAAGGCCATGTCATAAAGGAAGACGACACGCATTCGTGTGTCGTAACCTTACGACGCGCTTGTTAATGACATGCAATGCGTATCAAGAAAGCCCTTGTCAAGAAAGGCCATGTCATAAATGAAGATGACATACATTTTGACATATCATAATTTTAAATGTTTGAAAAAAATATTATTTATAGATTTACTAATTTTCAAATTAAATAATACATTAAAAATCTCATAATACAAAATAAAATACCATAAATAACAAAGATAATTCATTTCACTAATATGTCAAATACAAATAATTATTCCAAAAGTGAGTAAATGTTATAAAAAATGAACTCATTTATATACAATTGCATCATCACGACTAATCGGTTTTATAATCTCAAAGTCATCAATGGAAGTGCGGTCCTTATTTCCGGAATGTATAGAGATGGTTCTCAAGCTCCGTACCACATCATCCTCCAATGGAGCATCTTCATCGATAACCGTGCTTGCGATGTTAACTTTTTCATCATCAACCATCTCACAAATCTGCAAATACTTCTCCCTGCTGGTAACAACTAATAATTAACATTTATGATTTATGATTTAACAAACACACACCTCATAAAAAACATGTTTATTATAAAAATGTTATCACCGAATAAGCTTCTCTATGCGTGCTCCAAATGTCTCAACGATCAGGGCATCAAATTTTCTCCGGTCGGTCACGACTCTTAAGTCATCAAGACACGTCAGCAGATACGACAAAGATCGGTCATCATCTAGTGGCGTATTGCCATCACATCGAGCAATATCAGCAAGCTCATTCATCTACAAATATTTCAATATTAGTACCTATATCTCATAACAAATAAGAACTTATTACCTACCTGTGGAAGGTCATGATGTTCATAATAGACACCCTTCCCTGCCAATAACATGTCTATCTGGCTGGTTTTTGGTGTCATCAATGGCGACCTAGGAGTCATGCTGCCAGCAGATGATGTGGTCATTCCTTGGTTAAATTTAGGACCAAAGCGGGTCCTACATGACATGGAGGGGTGAGCTTTAAGATCATCCATCGATACAGATTTATCGCCTCGATCAGGAAAACAATCAAGCATGTCTTCTGAACCTCTACCTGACCAATCACTAAGCTTAGGGGACATGAAATCACAGTCTTCGGTAACACTTGAACTTGCTTTACCATCCACTTCTTCCTTTTCGTTGTCAAACTTACCCCGTATCATTGACAAAATCTCCTGCTCCCGCTCACATAAATTAAATTTAAACCAATAAGCTATTTATTTTAATACAAATACACAATAAAGGATACATAAATAAATGCCTGCCTACCTCTACGTTATTTAAACCTCAAGATCTTCAGTTTGTGAAACCAGGAAAAAAAAATCTAGATAGAAGTGTCCATTGGGAGTGAAACCAGGGGAAAAAATATGTAATCTTCTTATTTGTGACTATTTTAGGGTGCTAAATCATAGATCTTCAGTTTACAGTCAGAATTAGCAAGAATGTTTTTGGGTTTTCAATCCAGATGGAAGTGTCCATTTTGAAACCCTAATTAGAGGTTATGTGTTCGAATCTGGTGGAAAATGGAAACTGTTTGATTGGTTGTCCCCTTTTCATATCCAGACCTTCAATGATTCAACTTTGACTGATGCATGCCATTTAAACAGATTTAAAGTATTGGTAAGATGAAGCCATGTAAGTGACTGAGTACCAGATTGCTGCAGACATAAGCTTAATACATCCCTGTTATAAAACATGGTGTGTGGTTGATAATGGACAACATGTAATAAGTAATTTAAATTGTAAAGTCAAATATAGATCTAGAGTCTAAACTGTAAAGTTAAAATGAGAATCCGTAAATGGTGTAACGTGTAAGTAAATGTATTTACTTTTGTCCTATCGGATGTCATGTGAAGTAGAATCGAAAGTCTATAGTGAGATTAATCTGTATTAAAAGATTTAACATCTACTCTTTGCTATGAGAGGAAAAAGAATAGACATTACCATTAGTTAAATAGATTTTTGAGTGAGAAGGTGACAAAATTATTTAAAGAATAAAAAATCTGACTCACCTTCTTTTCGAGCTCAAGAAGTGATAGTCCAGCACTAAAAACATCAGAATTCTGAGTGAGAATTCTGAGTGGAAACAGCTATACCCACACGAGGTGAAAGATAGACATCATTTCGAGAGGAAAACAACATATTCCCCCCTTCTCCCACATAGTCCTGTGGGGAAAACATGTTGGGAGTAGGGGTAGTGTGGTCAATTGCTTATAGAACTTGGATGTTCCTCCTTGAGGTAGTTGATTTTGGCTTTGAGATACTAAAAGTACCCCTAAAGCTAAATTTTCCAGATCTGGCAAGTTTTGTAACTGATAAGGGATATGCATCTGCACTCTCTGAAGGGTCGATTTCTACCACTTGATATGTAAGGGGATAGAATAGTTATTACTTATCCATTATGGGTTAAAAAATCATATGATGTGAAAAAGATGAGTCCATCAGATGAAAGCCTGTATAATCAATAACTTATCAACATGTGAAAGATTAACCTTGCTAATTTCTCACATTTAATCAATAATTGGATTATAGGAGGGACACTTAAAACTCTTTCATCTTTGAATCAAGTTCAACCTCATGAAAATAAGATCCTTCATGAACCATAGTCGCCATGACTGCACAAATTGCAGCAATAATCACTCTTAAGCAAAAGAAACCACGTGAAACATATGTGAGTCTGATTATCATAAGTAAGATACAGTGAGAATACAGGGTTCTTGATTACCAGGGTTATAAGAACTCGTAGAACCAAAAACCCTATTTCCCCAAATTTATTTAATTATAAACCACATGATGGATGCAGGTATACAACCTTGCTGGTGGTTTAGAGCAACATTGACTAAAGGAGTCGACTAATTGGGTGAAGGACCTTCTAAGATGGATCCAAAAGCATAAGTAGCTCCTTCCCTTTGTCTCCAATCTAGTTTTGTTATCTTTTCTTCAATGGAAGGCATCATAAGTGGAACAATATCATTTCCTACTATTCTTGCAACTAAACCAAGACAAGTTGCTTCACAAAAAACTCTCATAATATGATCACGTTCCATTTCATTGGTGAAATTTGCTTGAGCAAAACCAAGAGCATTGTAAAGTGCTCTAGTTACAGCGAGTCTTACATCATTACTAGTCGGTGACAGTGATTACGAGGATGTTTCATGAGCGGGCATTGTTTTGCCTGGAACAGGTGTCCACTGAGCAGGCTCGCATGAGCCGATATCTGAGTATACTGAGGAAGGACATTCGTGAGTTCGTGGTGAACTCAACTTAACAGACATTTGCCAAGCTCCAGGCAAATGCCCGGAAGAGGGAGATTGAGCTTGAGACGCAGGCGAGGGAGGAAGCCGAGTCTCAGAGGGGTGATCGGCGACCGACACAGTCGCAGCCGGCGCGGGCAAAGCCCGCTGATTTGAGGACAAGTAGTTCGAGGGGCCGTACTTATGGGAAGTGCAGCAAGAGCCATGATGGGTCATACAAGTCTGGGGTATGCTACAAGTGTGGGAAGGAAGGGCATTTCGCGAGGGATTATCCTAAGGGGTTCTCGGTTTACTTCCATTGCAACCAAACCAACCATCGGAAGGCCGAGTGCCCCCAGCTTCAGAGGATAGTGCAGGGATCCGTACCTGCAGTTCGAGCTACTGAGACCAGGCCGGCAAAGGCCGAAGCACCGAAGGCTAGGGGGAGAGCCTTTTAGTTGACAGCGGAAGAGGTCCGCGCAGCACCTGATGTCGTGGCAGGTACATATTCTTTATTTATCTATGCTGAGTTTATATTGTGATGATTATATGTTATGTGTAGGTCCTTTTCTTGTGAATTTTGTATCTGCATTAGTATTATTTGACTCGGGTGCGAGTCGGTCGTTCGTATCTGTGACTTTTAGTCGGCACATTAGTATTCCGAGGGAGGCGTTGAGTCAACCTCTACAAGTTTCCATAGCCGATGAGCGTGAGGTATGTGCTACCGAGGTGATACGTGGATGCGTACTGGAGATCTTTGGAGTGGAATTTCCGATTGACTTGATACCGATTGCCATGAGGGATGTTTGTGTTATAGTGGGCATGGATTGGTTGAGCCGTTTCGGGGCTGTCATAGATTGCGAGCGTCAGTTGGTGATGATCCGAGATCCTAGTGGGGGAGTGCTGACGGTTTATGGCAAGGGGACTCGTGGTGGTTCGGTATTCTGTTCGGCTGCCAGAGCGAGGCGGAGCTTGCAGTAGGGCTGCAAGGGATTCGTGGCCTATGTGATGGATGTACGAGAGGCTGTTGAGAGGCCAAGTTCAGTGGATGATGTGCCGATAGTGCGTGAGTTCCGGGACGTGTTCCCCGAGGAGTTGTCGGGCGTCCCTCCCGATAGGCAAGTGGAGTTTCATATCGATTTGATTCCCGGGGCCGCACCTATCGCTATGGCGCCATATCGCCTAGCGCCGCCAGAGATGCAAGATTTATCCTCACAGCTGTAGGAGCTGTTGGGGAAAGGGTTCATCCGTCCCAGTAGCTCTCCTTGGGGAGCGTCGATCCTTTTTGTCAAGAAAAAGGATGGTTCGCACCGAATGTGCATTGATTATCAGGAGCTGAACAAGTTGACGGTCAAGAACCGTTATCCACTACCGAGGATCGATGATCTATTCGATCAGTTGCAGGGGGCATCTTGGTTCTCCAAGATAGACATGAGATCGGGATATCACCAGATGAGAGTTCGGGATGAGGATATCCAGAAGACGGCATTTAGGACTCGTTACGGACATTATGAGTTCGTGGTGATGCCATTTGGGCTCACCAATGCACCCGCGACATTCATGGACCTCATGAACAGGGTGTGTAGGCCGATGTTGGATCGATCGGTAATTGTATTCATTGATGACATCCTGGTGTATTCAAGGACCAGAGAGCAACACGAGGAGCATTTGAGAGAGCTCCTCTGAGTTTTGAGATCGAAGAGGCTATTCACCAAATTCTCCAAGTGCAATTTTTGGTTATGGGAGGTCCAGTTCTTAGGGCATCTCATTAACCAGAATGGGATATTGGTTGACCCGGCCAAGATCGAGGCTGTGATGAGTTGGGAGGTGTCGAGGTCACCTGTGGAGATCCGGAGCTTCTTAGGGATGGCAAGCTACTATCGGAGATTTATCAGGGACTTCTCCAAAGTTGTTGTGCCACTTACCAAGTTAACCCGGAAGGGTGTTACTTTCTCATGGGGTCCGGAGCAGCAGACCTCATTTGAGACCCTTTGTCAAAGATTGTGCGAAGCTCCCGTGCTTGCATTACCGGAAGGGATGGAGGATTTCGTGGTGTACTGTGATGCATCGATATCGGGGTTGGGAGCGGTGTTGATGCAGAGAGGGCATGTGATCGCGTATGCGTCGAGGCAGTTAAAGCCTCATGAGACGAGATATCCCACCCATGATTTGGAGTTGGGGGCTGTGGTTTTCACCCTCAAGATCTGGCATCACTATCTGTATGGGGTTCGGTGTACGATATACACGGACCACAAGAGCTTGAAGTACTTGATGGATCAGCCAAATCTGAATATGCGTAAGAGGAAATGGTTGGATGTGGTAAAGGATTATGATTGCGAGATCCTGTACCACCCGAGCAAGGCTAATGTGGTAGCCGACGCCCTGAGTCATAGGGAAGAGGGTGCCCCGATGCGAGATGTTTGTTTGAGGTTGACGGTGATGACCCCGATTTTGGACACCATCCGAGGGGCTCAGGCTGAGGCTGCGAGATCATAAAATCAGAAAAGGGAGCGGGTGGTTGGTCAGGTATCGGAATTCATTACGGATGGTCGGGGACTTATGACTTTTCAGGGTCGGATTTGGGTACCGTTTGTGGGCGGTGCGTGTACTATCTTGATGGAGGAAGCGCATCGATCGAAATTTTCGATTCATCCTGGGGCTACTAAGATGTATTTGGACCTAAGGAAAGACTATTGGTGGCCATGTATGAAGAGGGATGTTGCATGGTTCGTCGAGAGGTGCGTGACTTGTCGTCAGGTTAAGACCGAGCACCAGCGTCCGCACGACAAATTGCAGCTGTTGGGGATTCCCGAATGGAAGTGGGAACAAATTACCATGGACTTATCACCAAATTGCCACGGACTGCGAGGGGAGTTGATGCGATTTGGGTGATCGTAGATAGGCTGACGAAGAGTGCTCATTTTCTAGCC